TCGATCAAGAGAAAACTTTTCAACAATTGAAGCAAGCTCTTTGTACAGCACCAATGCTAGCATATCCAGTACCAGGGCAGGAAATTATTTAAGACACCGATGCAAGCGCTTACGGAATTAATGGTGTTCTTTTTCAATTTATCGATGGTCAAGAAAAAGTGGTGGCATACTTTAGCAGGATTCTTGGAAACCCAGAAAGAAACTATTGTGTAACCCGAAAGGAGCTGTTGGCGGTAATGGAATGTGTAAAACACTTTCATAAGTACATATGGTCAAAAATTTCGTTTGAGAACAGACCACGCAGCGTTGAGATGATTATTACAATTTAAAAGCCCAGACGGACAGATCGCTCGATGGATAGAAAGGCTACAGAGCTATGAATTCAAAATAGAGCACCGGAAGGGTGTCCAACATGGAAATGCTGATGCGTTATCGCGACGACCTTGTCAGCTAGAATGTAAACGCTGTACTAAAAATGAATTAAAGGAAGGAATAGTTGATATTCGTTTGACAAGTCTACAACCAGCAGAAGATTGGAACCCAACCAATATAAGAAGTAGCTAACTAAAAGATACAGATCTTACAATGTTACTAAGGTCCAAAGAAGAACGATCACGGCCAACTAAGGAGCAGATATCCTCCGAAACTCCCATTGTAAAGGCATATGGGGCACAATGGAACAGCATCCATCTTGTCAATAGGGTCCTTCACCGTAGTTGGGAAAGTGAAGATGGCAAGCGTTCTCGACTCTTAATTATCGTTCCGAAATCCAAAATTGCAAACGTATTAGAGGAGTTTCACAATGGGCCAAGTGGAGAGCATCGAAAACTTTAGAAAAGATCAAACAGCGATTCTATTGGGTTGGTTGCAGTGAATCGATAACGGAGTGGATTCGAAATTGCTCAAATTGTATGGCAGCAAAAGGTCTTAAGATAAAAAGCCGAGATAAGATGCATATAACGTTGGAGCATCATTTGAACGATTCGTCATGGATGTAGCGGGCCCATATCCAACCAGTGATGCCGGAAACAAATATATACTCATTGTTATGGATTATTTTAGTAAGTGGCCAGAAGTATACGCTTTACCGAATCAAGAGGCAAAAACAGTTGCAGAAGTATTTGTACAAAATTGGGTAACAAGATTCGGAGTCCCAATAGAGTTGCACTCCGACCAAGGCAGAAACTTCGAATCCACAATGTTCCAAGAAATTTGTACAATTATGGGCATTAGAAAAACAAGGACAACGGCTTTGCATCCACAGTCAGACGGCATGGTAGAAAGATTCAATCGGACTCTAGAAGAACATCTGCGAAAAGTTATAAATAAATGTCAACGTAATTGGGACAAGCGCATCCAAATGTTTTTGATGGCATATCGATCGGCTAAGCACGAGACAACAGGTCATACACCAGCGCATGTAGTTTTTAGTTCTGAATTGCGGCTTCCTTCCGACCTTAAGTTTGGAGCAACCAATTCGGTCGAACACAGTGAAGAAAACTACTGCGATATGATGAGGAACGAAATGAATGAATTACACCAACAAGTAAAACAACACAGCCGGCTGATGAGCAATAAGATGAAAGATCGATTTGACCGAGCTGCAAACTCTGAGGGATTCGAAGAAGGCGATTTGGTGTTACTATATAACCCGTAACGTCAGAAAGGTTTATCTACTAAATTACAAACATTTTGGGAAGGACCGTATATGATTATGAAACGGTTGAATGACGTTGTGTACTGTATCCAGCGTTATGGAACTACTCGTTGCAAAATGAAGGTAGTGCACCTGGAGAGGCTTGCTTCGTACGGTTCCAAAGAATTTGTGCCTGATCGGGCCGATCAGGCTTAAGTGGAAGACAGTGTAACAAATTTAGTCTGGTAATATCAAATCGTTGCAATACGGCAACACTGCGAGTTGACAAAAAAAGAAAAGAAACAAAAAAAATGTCTGCTAGCTAGTCGAGAGAAGTTGTTTTCACCTACCGTCGAACAGAGAGTTTTTGTTGGTTTTTAATTGTAAATGATAATAAATTATTCAAGTGTATCTGATATTAAAGAAGCTTATAACTTTCATATTTCAAATGAGTATTCTCTTTCAATTTGTATAAGACATTTATTAAATAAAGATTGTTAAGTGTTAAAGGTTAACTGGCGTGATTATTTTTGACAGTTGTTAAGTTATTGACAATCCTGCGATACGAACGGGAGTTAAGACAGAATTACCAAAGAAAGCAAATACATAACAATAGCTGCGTTTCAGCAAACATGATCCGCTCAATTTTACATGCAAAACAAAAACAATGGGGTGAACCAGCAATTGATCTGGTTCACTTTCTGGTTCAATGTGGAATGTATGTAAAAGATAAAAGTGGAACGTATTTTAATGCAAATGAGGTTGGCAATGCGATGCAACGGTGCAGTAAAATAATAAACAAATCTACATTTATATTTATTTATTATTGATTTTATTTATTTATTATTTATTTTATGTACTTATTTATTTAATATGTCGTTATTATTTATTTCTTTGTTTAAAATAATGTTTTAACTATTACTATAATTATTACTTTAAAATTATTACTTTAAAATTCATTCATTACTCTCGTCCGATTGTGATCATCGCTGATTGGAATTTATTAACAAATCTATTAAAATATGAAACATAATTAAATAATTAATATATAGCAATTGTATTTTTTTATGTGCAAATACCAATCAAATAATCTTTAACGAAAGAATTATTGATCGTTTCCACAAAACTTCCACTTTATCCATGCTGATTAATACACTTGAACTAGTATTTAAAAATGGAATGGAAGAGTCAGTTTCGCTTGATGATTCTAATAAAATCTGCAATTTTCATTTATTTACTATAGAATTAAATTTAAGTTTTAAAATAAATACTAAATAAAAACTTACATTTAATACTTCACACAGCTCAACAGTTTTAATTTTTTTCTATTTTTTAGATTTTTTGTATAAAATAATTGGCAACGCATGAAATATGCCAGTTGGGTTTGTGTACAAAATTTTTTGATTTATGTGAATAATTTTGGCGCTAAAAAAATAAGTGAGAAAATTTTGAATACAAAAAATCTAAAAAATGGAAAATAAATAAAATCTGTTGATATGTCTGAAATATGAAATGTTAGTTTTTATTTAGTATTTACTTAAAAACTTCAATTTAATTCTATAGTAATTAAATGGAAATTGCAGATTTTATTAGAATTATCGAGCAAAACTGACTCCTCCATTTTCTTTTTAAACACTAGTCCAAGTGTATTAAGCTCAAGGGAGTGCATCAGCATGAATATAGTGGAAATTTTATGGAAACGATCAATAATTGTTCCGTTAAAGATTATTTCATTGGTATTTGCGAATAAAAAATACAATTGCTATATATTTATTATGTTTCATATTTTAATAGATTTGTTAATAAAATCCAATCAGCAAATACAAAATAGCCGTGGTGGTCACAATTGAACGAGAGCAATGAAGGAAATTTACATATTTTTGTGGTATATGGCAAATATAAATACTTTTCGCGAATTTGGTATTTGTTTTGGCATACCAAAAGCTTCTGTATGGAGAATAATTGAAAGAAATAGTGTTTAGCTTATATCAATTGCAAAATTTCCGTTCGTGATTGACAGCACACATGTTAAAATAAATGCACCGCACCATAGCAATTAGGCTTATTTCAAAAGGAAGCATGAATATAGTTTAAACTTGCAAGCAGTTTGCAATGGTTTTTTATAAACGTGTATGTTGGAGAGACTGTTTCCTTATATATTGTTCTGCTTTAATTAAATAAATGTATTCAACTTAATGTTTATATATTCATTTCAAATTAATTGATTTTCATAAATTATCAAACAACACTTTTTTAATAATAATAAAACGTAAATAATTAAAGTAATAATTTTAATAATTTTAATTTATAGTAATAGTAATAATTAAAACATTACTTCAAACAAAGAAATAAATAATAATGACATATTAAATAAATAAGTACATAAAATAAATAATAAATAAATAAAATCAATAAAACCAGCAATTGATCTGGTTCACTTTCTGGTTCAATGTATGTAAAAGATAAAAGTGGAACGTATTTTAATGCAAATGAGGTTGGCAATGCGATGCAATGGTGTAGTAAAATTATTAACACATCTACATTTATATAAATATAAATGTAGATGTGTTTATAATTGAACCAGAAAGTGGACCAGATCAATTGCTGGTTCACCCCATTGTTTTTGTTTTGCATGTAAAATTGAGCGGATCATGTTTGCTGAAACGCAGCTAATATAATCTTAAAATGACGGCATTTACATTGTGAGCTTAACAGTAAATTAAAGCAAACATCGAGGTTATACGACATTTACATTGTGAGATTAAAAGTAGATTAAAGCAATAATCGAGATTAAAGTACTAATTTCGTTGTTTAATCTCTACAAAAAGCCATACAAAAGCTAACCTCGTTTTGGTCAAGATTAATTTTAAATCTCCTAAGAAATAGTGATTATTTTTCTATGCAACTCTGCAAAGAAAAAAGTTAAAAGAATTTGAAAAGAAATGTCAAAATCTATTCAAAACAAACATTGAAAGTTTGAAAATACCGAAACGAATGGAATTCCTCTTAAATTTGTTTAATAAAAGTTTTGTACAACTAAATTTTTTTAAATTTTTGTTATAAAACTATTTTTAAAATATATATTATAATTTTTTGTACATAGTTGTAATTAAATGTTTTATTATTATGGTCTCCTTGTGTTGAATTGTATTGTATTGTATTCACAAAAACTTAATTAATTAAAATAATATAAAAAAAAATGTTTTGTTATTGTAGTCACTACTTTTCGAAACTTTTCTACCAAATACAATAGTTTTTATTAAGTAAAATAGAAACCTTAAATTATCACTAAAATAAAATTAAAATTAAATGATAACAAATTCCATTTTCTTATTATATGAAACAACGAGAGTTACAATTTCCACCTTCGATTTCGTACGAACGATTGAATTTCAAACAAAATATTTTGTTTAATCAAATGTTGGCATGAAAGAAACAACACGTCACGGGAAAAATTCTCAGCAACAGTAGCCACTCACATATGGTTACGTACATCTGATTTGTGCGCACGAACACGTAAGACAAAATTCGCATGCAATGTAACCGCAGTCTAGCGCAGCTTGAACGGAAAATAATGCGAACACTATTCTATATATTAAATGATTTTATTAAATAACAACCCTGTTTATGCATTGCGTTTCCATAAATTTGTAACTGACATAAATTTTGGTAGTTGATATAATGGATTTAGTCTACGGGGAAGCATCAGAATCGGACGAGGAATTTGGTGTGCCTAGCACTCCTCCCAAGGTTCTATGCGTTTCCATTTAAAAAATGTATGTGTGTCATTTGAATGTATATTCTAGATAGCAATATTAGCATCTGAAATATTGGGTGAAGCAACAGAATCTGATGATGGTAATATTTTGGTTTTACATCCAGGTAAACATAATATTTAATTTTCTATAGATATCTACTACACGTCTGATTCCACAATAAAAAGTACCACTGGAAATAAGTACAACAATAATTTGCTTCAGAGAAAACTAAGTAAGACATAAATTTAATAGCTATATGTAGAAAATACGTAATCCAATTTTAGTTGAAAGTAATATAACGATTTGGAAGGAGCTGACAAATACTATTAAAGACGATGTGACTACAGCATCTGTGCAGCTATTAAACACAGAGCAATTATTAATAAAATCACAGGTGAACTTTATTTTTTAACTCAACTTGTATATTCATGCACATTCATCGAGCAAAATAAGTGGTATAGAAAACATTTATGTTAACTTTTCAGGTATCTATGCAAGCAGCTTTAACGTACCTCAAACAATCGCAAGAAAATGTAAAAGATTTGCTCGGGAAATCAAACTTTATATTTACATCAAATTTTATATCACCAATAGAAATATAAAATACTTTATACATCTGCAAAATTTAAAAGTAATAAAAACAAAAAGTATATTTGTGTATTTTTTTAATCAGCGTCTGAGTCCGATATATACACGTTGCAATCCGGCTTAGGTTCTTTAGGAACATATGTGGATTCGAAACATCTAACAAATATTGACCGCATGCGGTTTGTATTTCGTCCAGGCGACGAAGGTATACACTCGTTCTCAATTTCTCCTGCATCATAAAACGTAACAGGAGAATCAGTGTCTTTCAGTATTGAGTCAGGTGGCATACGTAGAGACACATGACTATCACAAATATGACTAACATTATTTAATAGATTTGGTGGTGTGTTTACGGACTTTGAAGCACTTTGTGTATTACCATTATCATCAAAAAGTCGTGAATCGTTACTGAGTGTTGATGCATCGCTTATAAATCTTGTTTTTGATTGGTTTTTATGCTCGTCATCATGCACGTTTAATTTTCTCTTTATACTTATATTGGCATTAGTTAGTTCAGCTGGATTACAATCTTCATAGAAACTTATATCGTCAGGAGAAAGTGTGGACATTATTAATAAGCATTCTATTTGGTCATATTTTTTTATTTTTAAAAAAATTGGACTGAAATTATATTAAAGTTTCACAAAAAGATTTAAAATGATTTTTTTTAGTATATACCTGCCAGCGTCATCAAGATTTAAGCTCAAATTTTCATTTAACGATTCCGCAAATATTAAAAAAGCACGAAATTCTTTTAAACAAAAAGTTACGTGGCATTTATGGCTTACATTGTAGTGGTCGAACTCTGAAGCCCTGAAACATATATAAAAATGTGTACGGTTAGATATCTTTAATATATAGAATAGCAAGTTCTCATCTGTATCCAAACAAAATTATTGCGAAAGAATTTACCTTCAGCATTGCCGCAACTTCACAAATTGTGAATTTATTACCGCTCCTTTTATTTATATGGCAGCAGCGTATATTCAAATGTCAATCAATCTGAGTAAATTTTACCACTACTATTACATTCTAACTGCACCTAAATATTTAATGATTTCAATTAATCTCAAAAATTTTATTTATATTGCTAAGAAACAAAGAAATAGTTTTCATTAAACGTTTGCATTTACAAGGATGTGACTAAATAGTTTCTAACTAATTACCTATTGTATTAGGCTCAACGCGTGCTGAAAAGCACAAAATAGCATGCTATTTTTATTCAACATGCTAAATAGCTTTAATATTAGTGTTAAATTTTTGCTATATATTTTACATACAATATGAAACTTAAGTTAAATTTTAATTAACTTTGCTAAATACTAATTTCGAATTGTCAAATCACATACATTTATCACAGTTCTTTCAATTCATTTTTATGGAGATGTTTTAATTTAGCAAAATGAAATTGTACCTACTTTGGAAGAGTGAGAGGTATAGCATACTGATTGAATATGAATTGGTTTTGTATGCAATTTATTGGTAGTTAATATATATTTGTGTCCAAATTTAATTAAAGAAACAAATTATTTTAACATAAAACACAACATGTCCTGCTTTGGATATATTTAGGCAGCCGAGACCATGAAATTTGTGGGATTATGTAAAGAATAATGTTAATGCAGAAAATCTGTAAATTTTCGAGCTTTGAAAGCAAACGTCTACCAAGTTATGATGGTGCTATTGCTAGATCAAAAGGATATAGAACTGTAAGATGTCCTCTGGGAACATTTGCATGATATATTTCTCATCAAATTAAAACGTTAATACAATATACTAAAATAGAAAATTAATCGAATTCTAAATCAAAAATGTGTTTTATGTAGATATATTTGTAAAACAACAGGATGATGATCTTCGTATTATTAGAATAAGTGGATAAAACAAAGTTTTAACATATGCACTGAAAGGTTGCTAGGAACTGGCAAATTTTGCTCCCAAATTGCACAAAAATAATAGTATTATTTTTAAATCGATGCAATGATCTTTCATATTTAATAATATGTAAAATCTAAGCATAATAATAATGAACATAAAAGATCGGTTTCAGTACCTACTTGAAGTAAAGTTCAAATAATAAATTTCTTAAATTTTATTGGATCTGAATTTATTACTTTAAGTAAAGTTCAAATAATAAATTTCTTAAATTTTATTGGATCTGTCTAGGCATATTTTAAATAGTCATTTAAGCATCTGAAGATAGTTTAAGCTTCCGTCTATCAATGCTATGAGTATAAACTAATAAATGGAAATAATTCCACATATGGTCATGAACAAACACCAGATGTTATTACTCACTAATGTGTTGGTTTGTAATTGTTATTATTAATCTAATCTTCAAGTAAATAAAGAAATTATGTTATTGTTTTGTGCTTTTTATAATATAAAATTTTTTATATTCTAATTATTTCCATTACTGAATAAAAATAAAGTTAATTTAATTTAAGACAGCGCAGTTCGACACATAGTTTAATTTTAGTAACAAGATTTACTATAACTTCTAAAACGGTCAAATAATTAGAAATCAATTTTTTTTTTATTGTCAACGCAAAGATATGGCTTCACAAACGTCACCTATTATAGCCGGTATCGTAGTAGAAAAATTGCTAAGACAAAAAAATTTTGTGGATGATATGGAATCTAAACCAAGACTATCGACGAAATAAATAGATGATCTATTCGCGAGATTCAGAATAAATAAAACAGTCCAAGTCCTGAATTCGTTCTACAAATTTAATAATAAGCAGTGTTTATATCTCAGCTGCATCGAATCGAAAGTGGTAGTTAAATTGAGAATTTTTTTTTGTTTTGGTGTAAGTAGTAATTATTTTAATTTATTACTTAAATATTTTTAAAAACTATATATTAAGCTAACTATAATTAAATTATAAAAGACAGACCTAAACAAAACTTATTCTTTGATGTTTTCATCAAAACATTAAATTTTACCATATTTCGCGTTATCTATTAAAAGCATTTTATAAACAAAAATACGAAGAAAATTGAAATGGTTCTCAAATTTGAAAATTATTGAAAATTTGTATTTTAAATATATAAATAAAATTTTAAGTGAGGAACACAGTAATAGTACGTTTCCACTGGCTTCGTTAGACCAATTAACTTACTTGAGATTCAAGTAATTCAAGCAATCTCAAGTAAGTTAACTGGTCTAACGAAGCCAGTGGAAGCATACTATAAAAACATGTAAGCACAAAGCATTTATACATAATTCAGTTTTTTCACCCTTTTTCTGAATTTTTTGTTTAGAATAAGAAATAAAACAGATTACTAAATATTAAGATATTATTACCTACTTCAAGGTAATCATCACGTTAAAGTGATATTAAATGATTTTCAGAAATTCGTTCAAACGAAACTAAATTCGTTTTCCATTTTAAATTTAAATTAGTTTGCTTTGAGATAATAATAATTGTTTTTTTTAGCCGATTTTAGAGGCATAGAATACAGCTATATTTAATAGTTAATTTAATTACTCGTACAATAAAAACTAGAAAACAATATTAGTTCAATTCCTGACTTCTAACTAAAAACATATATTAAATCAGAAACATTAACAATAACGTCTCCAGAAAGACCTCAACTTGTCAAAAACTTAACTAAATTATTTGGAATACAAAATATGAATGTGAATATACTTACATTAGCTGAAGTTGAGAACGCATAAAATTGTCACTGACTCGAGATCCTTCTATATAATTTTTAATTGTAACATAATCTTTTTGAACTTCGAATGTTATTTCCTCTTCATTTAGATTAAAGTTAGAGGAAATTTCGGTAAAAGTTTTGTGCGAAGCAGTAATACTGAAACATGTAAATTTTACTATAAACGATTCTAACAACATGTATCCACTTACATATTTGGCATGCTTTCAGGAAGCACAGCAGCATTTATATTTTCTTCGTCTATAATAGCAATCAAAACATTTTTTAATGTCTCTAAATGACATTTTAAATTAACTTGAAATTTTGACAGTTCTTGAATTATACTCAGTTCACACCGCTCTACCTAAAGCATAACAAAAAAATAAACTAATTATACATTAACATAAAGCAATAATATGAAAGAAGTGAAAATATTTTCAAAGACTTTCTAAATAAAAAAACAAAAAAGTTTATAAGTAAAATTGGAAAAAATGGACTAATTTCGTTATAAGAAATTGCTTAATTTCTAGTCTAATGATAGCACAAGCTATTGATTATTATTAAGAGCTTGATATGGAAATAAAAAACAACATAAAAAACAACAACTTGGAAAAATCAGTTAAGTGTAGTAAAGACTTGTGGTGATTATGATAATGGTAATATTCGTGTAAATATTTCTTTAGTTCAGCTCAATCATTTTAAACTAAAAGTCTTAAAGCATTAACGAACCTTTAATTCGTTGGCGACATCATTTGAGCTGCAGCTAACCGTAACAGTTGAAATGTGGTTGTAATCCAATTTTGTATCGTGTTTTATTTCTATTATCTTTGACGAATTTAGGTCACAAGGTTGCCAATTTGTAGGCAATTAAAAGGAATTATCCGATATTTGTGTCACTCAGTCACGATATGTCTGTTCAATTGAACTATTACAAAAATAAATTAAACCTAATATAAAATATGGTCTAGCTAGCAGGTCTAAATCCTGCTAAATCGCCAATCTTCTCATTCCAACTTTTACGCAATCATTAAATTAGTTAACTCAAAGCCAAATCCTACCAATTATTTTCATTGCGCATATTAATATCCCCCTGACAGTGCAGTCTGTTAATTTTTCTGCAAGTTACAACATTGACCAGCAGTGACTATTGGGTTACATACTGTTTAAAAAATATGGACAATCAAAGTACCAAATCTATAAAATCAAGGTAATTTGAAATTGCAATTAAAGAAGAGAATGCATTTAAACATTTTTTGTTTTATAAATAAATCAGATAGGGATTGTATAAATATCATCAAATATATTCTACACATTCAATACAGATTCGAATTCTTTCTGCTTAATTATCCTATGGAATTTGTGAATTTAGTTGAGTTCAACAATAATTTGAAATATATACTCACTTGCTTCATATTCCGAAACACGCAGAGACAGGCCTTCATTGAAATCTTATAATAGTTTTCAATTCCCGCTTTCACATGATATGCTTCAAAAAAGGTTTTCGTAAATTTACAACTTCCTACCGCAGAACGTGTAGAATTCAACGCTCGTAATTGCAGTCCATTATCATTAACTTCAATGAATAAATCTGGTCCAAGTTTTGATAGCGATTGAATTGCTTTTGCAAAAACTTAAAAAATAGTACAAGTTATTTAAGTACTTAAATTTATAACATTTACTCACTGCTAGCATTCGCTCCATCTAAGGTGCACTTCATCTATTTTAAATAAGCTATTAAAAACTTAAAATTGAGATGTTTTTGTTGAATACTTGACTTAAAGATTACTTATACAAAACAGAGATAATTGTAGGGAACACGAATAAACCAATTTCTCGTTTATGTAAATAATTCAAACCGATTTAAACGAATTTCAGCGAATTCTTCCACTTTCAAGTTTAGTGTTTATGCCAAATGAAAAACTCACCACACATAAATGTATTGGTGTTATAAGAGGAACTTGCGAAAATAGAACAAAATAATGCTTCAAATTTACCATTATTTTATGATTTGCAAAAACATTTCTGTGACACATTTATGTGACTTTCTCACTTCGTATTCTCGTTCGATTTTGTCACTTTTGATAGTTAGTCAATCGAAGTGTTTATATAGCTTTGGTGAATTTTTTTCAAACTCTTTTCTTTCGAGTGTTTGTCACTTGCGAAATTCCGTGCAAGATATTTGAATTTAAAGTGGTGGTGAAAACATTTGTCTTTTATTAAATACAATATTGGTTAAAACAAACAACAATGCAAAATGAAATGAGCTGTCTGTGTCAAATTTTCATTTTGCATTAAAAGCAACTATTACCGTAACGTGACTGTAATCAAAACATGTTCCTTAGAAGCTTTGCTTATGTATTTTATGGGTTTATAAATAAAAAAATTCGTGTTCAATTTTTTACGGATAATATAAGGTGCTTTCGGCAGCTTTAAGTATGGAAAAAAACAGCAAGTGGCTAGATTTCTTTCTAAACACAGCTTTCTATCTAAACATTTTAGCAACTACAGAAAGATATGTTACCAAAGGAATTAAAGAACTATTGTGAATCTTCAATTGAAATTTCAACGAATATTTCAGTCATATGTCAAAAGATTGTAAACAAAAATTCAAGCACAATTAAAGTTTCACAAATTTGGAAATTTTGTAAATGAAATATTTTAAAAATATGCAAAATTCCTGCATTCTGAACATTGCTTTTAGTTCATTTTACATTTTAATTTTTTATTTTACCTTTATTATTTATTTACATACAATATGTAATTTGCTTGCATTATGTGCATGTATGCAGATTTGCTCTTTGGAAAATATAACATTTGAGAGATTGCAACAGTGATGTCAATATCTCGCTTAGCACCTATGGTACACAACATTAGGGGTATTCAGGATGTCTGTGCATCGTTGCATGTGCAAAATTATTTGATTTTACAAAAACAATTCCCTTGTAAATAATTCTGCACTTGATTTGCAAGACAATAGGGGTATTCACTCTCTCTTGCAAACTCATTGCAAGGTGCACGAAATGCACAGATTGTACAAGAATGCAAATAACAACAACAAAATACACGCACAAAATTTCGTGCAATTGCGTGCAATCTTCCAATGCTGAAACCTATGTATATTTGCTTGCAACAAACCAGAAATGGCGGAAATCAGCTGTTTTGTCATTTGTTGCTTCTCATTTTTAAATTTGAATTGACTGTTAGTAAAATTTCGAGATATGTTAATCTATGGCTATGCTATATACATGCGTTTCGTTCAATAATTTAAATCGATGTGACCATTAATTAAGTTTTCACAAATATAATATTATATACATATACATTTGTGAATTAATTTATCTATTTATCAATTTCAGCGAAACTCACGAAAATTTGTTCACATTTTGAACTATTGAATAAAGTGTTTGGACGCATGTCTAATTTTGTACGGAAACATTGCCATAGCCACCAACTAGTTCTGCGCTAGGCAACGAAGTTTTTTTTATTGAATCGTCTGCAGACAACACATCATCCAGCTCTGCACCGAAAGTCGTGCGTTCTGCTGTGCAAAGCCCCACTACCCTCCTCGATAAAAAATATAACAAATAACAATAATAAATTAAGAATTAGTTATATTTTTATTATACTAATTATTTTTATATTTTATTATTATTACATATATCTCCAACAACAAATAATGTAGCGACTTTACGAATAGCCGCATTTTCGCCTGATGAACCCAAACGATATAAAACAATAGCAATCCTTAATAGTTTATTAGTGAGACTATTAAGGAAAATACGTTCCAATTTACTCTAAGCATCTGACAAAAACGGCCTTCATCAAATTCTTGAAGAATGGTAGATCTCCATTGAATAGATTTTGGTACGGGTTGGTGATTTCTGTGATGGTTTACTAAAGTAAACAAAAGGTCTTCATTTAATTGCTCCATCACTTTCCAGTAATTTGCATCATCTAACAAATAGAAACTATATAGTAGTGAAAACTACATTAACAACATGTTAATACCTTCAATCAGAATATTAAAAGCACTATTTTCAATAAAAAAATCTATATATTTTTCTATTTCACTTGTTCGCGGCATTGTTATACTTTTATTTTTCTTTGCTCAATTTGATACGGCTGCAAAAACAGCTGATTCATTTTGATGATGCAATTCTGCAATAGAGGTGTTCTCGCAGTCTTGCAGTTTTTGTATAGCATTCTTGCATTTCGTGCTCCTTGCAATGAGTTTACAAGAGAGAGTGAATACCCCTAATATTCAAGACCATATTTTCAACACCAATTACCTCTTGCATATTTGATTTTCAAGACTCTATTGTGAATGATACTACTTTTTTTATTATTCGCTGGGCAATACTTTAGCGAAACGGTCGTTTTTTTTTATTTTGTCATTTTTTAATTTTATGATTTTATGCAATTGTTTGATTTTGTATTTATTTTACGTCCAACATGTCGGGGCTGCTGACCAAAAATATTCGGAGATGTAGCAACAAAAAGTGGACCAACAATGAGGTAAATCTCATTCTAGATTTCCTTGAGGAAACTGAAGGTTAAGACAAAGTTACAGGAAAACAAGTGAGAGGTGTAACTCAACAGGCGCAGGTCTTGAAGAAATTGATACCTGTACAACTGTTAAAGTTGTAAATATAAAGCAGAGTACATATAAAAATGTCAGAATTACAATCGAGGAAACGTTTGGCGAAGTACGAGCTAGATGTGAAATATAGAAATCATGTTCTGGAAATCTAATTTTTTTGTGTTATTACATTATCAATTACTATATGTATATATATGATAAATATTATTATTATTAAGTATTCTCTCCTTTTTTTATTTTCTTGATAATTTATTACAAATATTTATTTTTAACCATTAAATATTAATGAAAATACTTCTTGCCGTTTCATTTTATCATTTCTGCTAAATGATGCTGATATTTCCGGCACAATCTCATTTTCAGTTGTGGTATTTTTGGAGCAATACTTATAGCTGTTTATGTTATGGAGATGCATCTTTAGTTATTTAAGACTTTCAAATTTTTTCCTTAAAATATGCCAAAGCAGTGCTCAACACATATTCGGTATGTGCTTTGTCGCAAATTGAAAGCAATTCCTAAGTATCTACTCATCTGATGCGCATTATATCTGTTTGGAGTTAATACATATTCTGATACATATTCATCATGAGTATCAATTTCTGAAATTCGTATGAATATATATGTACTGCTTTATTAAACATATAAATGCACGAATCTAAACTACCCATTAATTCCGCAACAGCAAAATCCATCTCAGTATTCAATATATTCTACTTTTCACTTTTTTTGGCATTGTTAAATACGTAAACAAAAATCAGCTGTTTTAAATATTTTCAAGACTAATATGCACAAAGTGTGTTCACGATTATTTGAGTTTGCAACGATGCACATTCAACGATGCACAGACATCCTGAATACCCCTATTATGTTTTTTGCCACACTTTTAAGCAATTCTTTTTGTAATTTAAATATCTTTTAAACAATTTTTCTGTAAATTTTAAAAAATAATCGATATGTGGAATTGATAACTTTTTGGAAATTTCATTATAATAGTTATATTAAAATGAATAAAATTTATACTAATACTATGTTCAGACAACCAAACTTCCTTAATTTCCTTAAAATGAAATTAATTTAATTTTATAAGTATTCACACTGCCCCAAAGTAAGGAAATCATATAATCATATGATATTTTGAAAGTTGATTATTATAACTATAAAGGATCAATTCTTTTATTAGCTTTAGTGGATTTCAGGTATGTGAATTATTATTTTTCACTCTATTTTAAATTAATAAAAGTTACAGTTCTGTCTCGGTATTCAAATTTAAAAATTCACACCACTTTCAAAACATATCCCAGTTTTATTAAAGTCAACTGTCATTGATATTTATTTTAAAAAAAATGTCACTTTTTCGTTATCTCAACTTTAGTGCCTATTATGAATTGTCTATCGCTGAGACAGTAGAAAAATTTCTACTGCTGATAGACAAAATCAAATTTTGGTATTATGAATTGCAAACCGATGCAAGTTTTTCTATCAGCGGTAGACAAATTTCTCTACTGCATTTGAGCAGTAGTAGTTTGTCGATCGTATAAAATAAATGCTGTTAAAACGCTTTATATAGTCAATTTAACATATAAATTTAATACAACTTAAATATTACTAATTTAATAGTTAGTAATAATTCATTATATTTAATATAATATAATATATATTTAATATGTTTGATTTCAAGTGTAGTGTTATATGTATATTGAGAATAATGATTGTTGCATTTTTGTTTTGTTTTGTTATATATTTATGTGTATTTATTCAAATATTTTCAGCATACGCAAGCATTTTTCAAATTTCTTAGATATATTTTTCAACGAATAATGTATTTACATAAAATTGAGATATAATAAAATTAACAAATTTTGTTGTAGGGAAAAATTGAGGAGCAATAAAAAGCAGATAGCAAAACTTGTTGCAAATGTTGGAAAAAATATTGTTGCAAATATGGAAAAAAGAAAGACATTTGCAACAAGACACATTCCAGACCAATGTGGGACAAAATTACGATTGAGCTTAATAGTCTAGGCGCCTAAAAAATATTGAAAACATTTAGTAAAGGGAGGCAAGAGTATTGTGATCAAAAACTTACTGTAATACAAGAAAAATTAAAATTGGCTATGGAAAACACCGACAAAAGATATAAATGTCGGTCCTTTAAGCTTCAACTGCTTAAAAAAGATATGAATATTACTAATTTAATGTAATGTAATATACATATAATGTAAATATAACTACATATTATAAAAATATTAAAATTAATATATATATAAACATATTTATTTTTAGAATATTAAAGTTTAAGTTTAATATATTACTTTAGTTTATTAATGTAATGTAATATTAAATAATAATTTCGTATTAAGAAAATATATTTTTATTTATTTTAAAAAGAATTTGAATTCAATTTTAATGTTTCTTAGTGAACACAATACAAACAAAATAAGTTCAATTAAAGCTGGGCGCTCTAAAACCCTTACATCATTCACAAAAGTGCAAATGTTTGTCTATCAAATTTCATAATACCAAATTTGCCTACCAATCGATTCGGTAGACAAATGTCTATTGTCTATCGGTAGACATTTCATAATAGCCGCCTTTATCTTTTGTTTAAATTTTATCTTACACATAGTTGCATTTGAAATGTCCCTTAATTTCACCTTTGTTTTAATGAAATTAAGGCCACTTTCCTTAATTTTGTTCTAATCTCAAAACTGAATTTTGTATGGACTTCATTTTACTGAAACGAAGATGAAATTAAGATTTTTGCGAAATTAGGTGTATCTGAACATAGTATAATACTTCAATCAACGAGAAACCACTGCAATAAAAAGAGATTTATAATTATTGTATACTTTCACACGTTTTTTACTCAATTTTTAGTTTCAAATTCATTTTTATTAACACTGCTTATTTTTCTTTATAAGTTATTTCGCTCTCAATTTCAACTATTATTATAATTAAAGTATGTGACCAATTTTGTGCAATTTGGCGTACATATGTATTTCTGTCAAAAAATCGCAACTGTTACAAAACTACTCTTTTCATTTCATTATTCATAGTAAATTATTTATTTTTTTCCAGTCTTAATAATGGGCTGTTGATCCGCATATGCCAAAAGAATATTAAAATTTTAATTGATGTTACTGCATTTTAAATAACACTAACAACTGTTTTCAACAATTTGTTCAAAATATATAATTTATAGTTCACAATGAAGTTGCAAGGGTCTCGTAAATTGTTCTTTGTTCGGCAATGTGTTTATTGGGAATATTCTATAGAAAAGAGTCTATTCTAAGAGTATGTTTTTTGGTGAGCATTTTCATTAACCAATTTTATTCCCATGAGATTTGTTGGTTGATTCGCCACATCAGTTCTACTGCCCAGGGAACTTGGAAAGGATAGTGTTTAAGAAGGTGGCGTAATCGGATCGGGCTACTAATATATTTCGCTGCACCAATTTGTTCGGTGTATATGCAATATACGGTTAATTGCATTGTAGAAAATGTTAATTTGTGTCTAAAACAAATATGAAGGTTATAAAATCTGGATTAACATTTTGCACTTTAGTCCTCGTATGGTGTATTAATTTGTGTAATGCCTTGGACGTATCTTCTTTAAAAAGTTATTCGGTAACAACACTTATTAATGCAAAATGGGGACAGGTTCCACTCTACTTAGAAATATCTGAATATTTAGCAGATGATAATGGTGGTTTGTTTTGGGATTTTATTAAAGGAATTACAGACTTAGATACACCTCTAAATGAATACGGTGCGTATTATAACTTATATTAACAAATTCTATTACTAAATTGTTACTTATAGGTACTGATTCGAAGCAATATCTTTCGGCTCTTAATGTTGTGCGATCATTTTTAGGCTCGTTGCAGATGCCTTTACTAAAATTAATTCTATCATTACATAGCCTTACTCCGAGAATAAATGTACACTTACAGATTAGTTCAGAGGCTCAACAAAAAGGAAAGTGTAATACCATTGCTTTTGCGCAAATTGGAACAGAATATGCGTGCAATGTCATTGAACTTCAGCAAAAGTTGCATCTTCAAAGAAAATCCTTAGATACGAAAATAGAAACGTACAGTTTTGATCATTCATTTCCGGGTTCAGAAAATAACACTCGCACTGTTGTTCTTTATGGTGATATTGGATCGCACGAATTTGCAAAATTTCATAAAGTTCTCTCTCAAGAGGCATTTTCCGGTAAATGTCATTATATTGTAAGGCACCATATGACTAATTTACCGAATCGACGAATTCGTTTATCCGGTTATGGTGTAGAATTACATTTAAAATCAACAGAATATAAGAGCCAAGACGATGCACCAAAAAATAATGAAGATGATATAGCTAAATCCGATGACAACGCCATAGATGTAGAAATTCAAGGTTTTGATTTTAAAATTCTAAAAGCACGTTTTCCTTCATTGACACATTCATTGAATCAATTTCGGTATAGTTTATTAGAGGATACGCAAGAAATAGCTCAACTTAAGGCTTGGGAGTTTCAAGATTTAGGTTTGCAAGCAACCGCTGCTATAGCAGAAATCGAAGGAGAGGAAGCATTACAAATTTTACAATTCACTGCAAATAATTTTCCTATGCAAGCGCGTTCGTTATTAAATTATAAAGTTTCAGAAAGTTTGCGTGAAGAAATAAAATGGAACACCGAAATATTCGGTCGCAGTTTGAATATAGTACCTCCAGATGGAGCAATATTTGTTAATGGTCTATATTATGATGCAGATACTATGGATTTAGGTGCCTTTGTTGAAACCCTTCGTACTGAAATTCAGGTTCTGGAAAGTCTTCATCAGAATAATATCCACGGAAGAATTGCATCTGCATTATTAGCACTTGACTTTTCTAATAATGGTAAACATAATTTTGCTATAGATATTCGTGATACAGCAATTATGTGGATAAATGATATAGAAAATGATCCACACTATCGACGATGGCCTGCAAGTGTAATGGATCTTATGCGTCCAACTTTTCCAGGAATGTTACGTAATATACGTAAAAATGTGTTTCATTTAGTTCTTGTGGTCGACCCGCTATCGCCACATGGGCGAAGTCTTATTAAATTGGTCGAAAGTTTTGTAATCCATTCAGCTCCAGTAAGATTGGGATTAGTCTTTGATACTCGTCAGTCCAGTAATGACAATTCAGAAGATTACATTGCTGTTATATGCTCCTTTAACTATATTTCTCAGAAAAAAGATTATCGAGCGTCACTTAGTTTCTTAACAGATATTTATTCTCGTGTTAAAAGCAACGAAAAAGTAACTTTGAAACACATTCGTAGTCAATTAAAAAAATCGTTTCCTAGTCTATCGAACAACAAAATTGATGATATCATTAGCGAGGACTCTGATTACGATTACGGACGTAAATTATCGACTGAATTTGTAGAAAGATTAGGTTTTGAAGATAGTCCACAGGCGTTGCTTAATGGTGTACCAATGCAAGAAAGTTTACTATCTTCTGACAATGATTTTGAAGAGGCAATATTTACGGAAATTATGCAACAAACATCCGTTTTACAAAAAGCAGTATACCGCGGTGATCTTACCGATTCGGAGCCAATAATAGATTATTTAATGAATCAAGCGAATGTTATGCCCCGTCTTAATCAACGTATTCTTAACACTGAAAGTGAAAAATTTGTGGATCTCACTGGTAATGCATACCATAATTTAAACAACGTTCGTGAATTGGCACAATTATCAAATCGAGATATGACAGCGACTCTTTTAAATAATTTAAAATATTTTACCAGTAAACATGCCACCGAAAACATAGGAGCCAGTGAATTACAATTTTTAACTGTTTGGGTGTTTGGTGATTTGGAACAGAAGCTGGGAAGAAATCTGTTAATAAATGCATTGGAATATCTAAAAACCGCAAATAGTATGCGTGTTGCCTTCATTCCAAATATTGAAGATCAAACTTTCAAGCCAAATAACTTAAATTACTTAGTTTGGGCTGCTATGCATTCGCTTCCTTATAATGAGGCTACGGATACTGTATTATCGTGGCTCAAACTCAAAAATGATATTCAAGATATCCCAGCCAGTACAGTTGAATATTTGTCATCCACGGAGCTTCACATAAAAATGCTAAGAGTTTATTCACAACGTGTTTTAGGACTTCGAAAGAATGAGCAACTTATCATAGCAAATGGCAAAAAAATAGGACCTTTTCAACAGAATGATAAATTTAGTGTAGATGATTATGGCTTAATTGATCGTTTTAATGCCTTACAGTATGGAGATAAAATCCGAAAGGTGCTTGTAGAGAGTAATTTAAATGATACCGATGATAAAATAACAAGCGATATGTTATTGAAACTTTATTGTAGTTTAGTACCGCGACAATCCAAAACTCGTTTTCATATACCATATGACGCGAAAGAAGAGTATTCCGTTCTAAAATTGAACCCCAAAATCAAAGATTTACCATACTTTGATGTTAATGCAGTTGTGGATCCCGCATCTCGCAGTGCCCAGAAACTTGCACCAATACTCATATTATTACGGAATACTTTTAACTGTCAAATGAGAGTATTTTTAACACCCGTAAGTCAACATAGCGATATGCCTATAAAAAACTTTTATCGATATGTGATCGAACAAGAACCTCAGTTTGAACCACATGGTAGGATATCTGATGGACCTATTGCTAAGTTTACAGGATTACCTGTTAACTCATTATTAACGCAAAATTTGCAAGTACCTGAAAATTGGCTTGTGGAATCTGTGCGTTCTGTCTATGATTTGGACAACATAAAACTAAATGAAATTGGTGGTCCTGTTCATAGTGAATTTGAGTTGGAATATCTTTTGTTAGAAGGCCACTGCTTTGATGCTATCAGTGGTGCGCCACCACGAGGACTACAAATTGTTCTTGGTACAAAAAATAGTCCAGGCGTGGTTGACACCATCGTCATGGCAAATCTGGGTTATTTTCAATTAAAAGCTAATCCAGGCATTTGGGAACTTCGGCTACGAGACGGTAAATCTGCTGACATATATGATATTACACATGCAGAAGGACTAAATACATTGTATAGCAACCAATCTATTAAAATTGTTATAAGTTCGTTACGTTCCCACGTAATTAAAATTCGTGTTGCTAAAAAAACAGGTAAGCAAAGTATGGATTTGCTTGGTGATGAGGATGATCAATATCAAACAGGAATATGGAATTCTATAGCAAATTCATTCGGAGGTTCAGTTACCAATGTACCTGAAGATGAAACAATCAATATCTTCTCGGTTGCTTCAGGACATTTATATGAACGACTTCTGCGTATTATGATGATTTCTCTACTAAAACACACGAAATCACCCGTTAAATTTTGGTTTTTAAAAAATTACCTATCCCCTCAATTTACTGATTTTTTACCACACATGGCGAAAGAATATGGATTCCATTACGAATTGGTTCAATATAAATGGCCTCGTTGGTTACATCAGCAGACCGAGAAGCAGAGAACTATATGGGGTTATAAGATTTTATTCTTAGACGTATTATTTCCACTTAATGTACGCAAAATTATATTTGTTGATGCCGACGCAATTGTACGAGCAGATATAAAAGAATTATTTGACATGGATTTAGGTGGAGCACCATATGCATACACACCATTTTGTGATTCTCGTAAAGAAATGGAAGGTTTCAGATTCTGGAAACAAGGTTATTGGCGAAGTCATCTAATGGGAAGGAAATACCATATTTCAGCACTTTATGTTGTTGATCTGAAACGCTTTCGGAGGATAGCTGCTGGTGATCGACTACGTGGACAGTACCAAGCCTTGAGTCAAGATCCCAATAGTTTGTCAAATCTGGATCAAGATTTGCCAAATAATATGATCCATCAAGTTGCTATCAAATCACTTTCAAATGACTGGCTTTGGTGTCAAACCTGGTGCAGTGATAGCTCCTTAAAAAATGCAAAAGTAATCGATCTTTGCAATAATCCACAAACAAAAGAAGCTAAACTTACTGCTGCCCAACGCATAGTTCCTGAGTGGAAGACGTACGATACTGAAATTAAAAAGCTTATGGCTCAAGTAGAAGATCACGAGAATATAGCTGAACATGAAAATTATATGCAAGGTGAAAAATCTCGCATTTCAACTTCAGGTGATGGTAGTGAATCAGGTTCCATTAAACATTCTGAATTGTGATGATTAAAAAATATCCAAAAATCAAGTGAGGCGTAGAACAAAAATTGAAACGATATTTAATTTATTTAAACAATTTAATAAAAAATATATATGGAAAGACAAATAACTATAACATTGTAAATATTTTTATCGTTTTAAGAAAAATATTTTTGTAGTGATCCTTTTTCATACATTTTCTTAACGTCCGTTCCACCACCAATAAATTTGCCGTCAATGAAACAACGGGGAACCTAAAAAAAATTGTTTGAATATAAGAATTTAATTTTTATTAAGTAAAATTATGTTTTTTTACTTATATTTATGGTGTCTTTCGTGTTAATAACTTCTCTTTTGAGTGGAAAAAAATTTTCATTATATACATTTTCAAATAGGTTACAAGAAAGTTATAAAACAAAGTTATTAAAAGTGGTTATAAGCCACAGAATATATTTATACAAAGATATTAGGAAAAACAGTATAATATTAGCAAAATAAATTTTATCTGGCACTGCCAAATCCCTACACTTTTTCAGTTAATTTCTGATGTATCTATTATTTAAGAGGTTTTATGCAGAGTCAGAAAAGGTGACGACAAATAGATAGATGCGCAGACGAAGGATTTTTTTTTTATTGATATTAAGTAATAATATTTCCGCGGAAAGGATAAAACTTTTATTGCTCAAATTTTTTTGCACCTCACTTTTATTTTATTTACTCATAATATCATATATGTCACGAAAGGAACAAAGTTCTGATTTTTACCAAAATTCGGTCATTTGTGTGGCCTGTTAGTGGAAACAGTTGTTTATTTCGCCACCGTCTATATCTGTTTTGTTTATTGCCCGTCTTATTTATATGTTTATATATGCAGATACCGTCGTTTTTAATCCTTAATGATAGAGAGAGAGAAACTCAAGTAAAAAAATAAGTAAAGAATAAGTTTTGTGAGAGTCGACAAAAATAATTCCTGTCGACTCCGTCATGAGGAGAAGTAAACATCAGAACATATTTAATGCAACTGTCCAGCGTCGGCAAGAGGTAGACATGACTACCTTGGAAACGGGATCTTAGTCACAAATCAAATATGTGAAATGAAGCCCACAGCAATTACGATATTTATAAATAATTAGAATTGTTTTAGTTGAGCCTTTAGACCTACAATAGATCTTTTAGGTCGGGTGCATTCGTAGTATATTATTTAATAAATAAATAAAGTAAAAAAACAAAAAATAATGTCACAAAGAATTTGGTTGGGATTGTTATAAACAGCGCTTTTCCAAGACTTCACCTAAAAAAACCATACGGCTACTAGTAAGATATACATCGTAAGTCAGGACATAACAAATGTTAGAAATAAACAATATTCGCCTGCAAAACAAGAAAATAATAAAATATTTGCAAATGTATTGCCAAATTTCGAATATAAAAATTGGTGTCATGTTGAAGATAAACGACGTCTTAACCTAATTTATTCTTCATAACACGTAACCATCTGCAGGTTGGTTACGTGGAAAATAGAGTTAAGTATTTCAGAAGTTTTTTGTGTTTCATGAGTGGATATAACATTCGTAAACAAATTCAGACAAAACTATTTTAGGAATATTTTTTCCCAATAAGTACACAATCAATCTAAATATTTATATGTTAACCATCATTTTTTTTTAACATTGACACTCTTTGATTTGTAGTCAAACATATCGGACACCCATTTCAAAAGAGGCGCAACTCGAAATTCGTCAATTTTCAGAAAACGCAAAAAATGTTAAACAGCATAGTGTCATCCCAAAAAAAAGAAATATATGTTTTATAATGTTTTTTTCGACAATTTGCAATAATTAAAACAAAGTGGAATTTTGCGTGTTGGTAGACAGGTAAACTATAAGCAAGTTCCATACATTAACTCAAAATTGAGGAATTTCAAGTTGCGCCTCTTTTGAAGGTCTGCGATATGTATATTGACATGAAATGCATTCTCGATAGCCAAATTTTGTACCGCCCTCGCAATGCTTAATGTCTATTTATTGTTAAACAAAAGTCTAAAATTCAATTTAATGAATATTTCGTAAATTTAAAGTTAATTTTCAATACCTATATTCGACATATCTTAAATAAAATACTGATAAGGTTTTTATTATAATAGATTTTAAAATACAAACTGCTAGAAGGAAAATATCAATTTAAATTTGCATATAACAAAAATCATAACTTCTAATTTGGACACCCGTGAATAAGTTTAGTTTTTTACTACATCAACATATGGGTATTACTTACTGTTCGACTTCCAGTGATTTCCCCAAGTATGTTTTGAATTTCATCAGCATCGTTACGCTCATCTAGTTCAATTACGGTAGGGCTTACAGAGAGCTTTTCGAATTGCTAATGTAAATGATTTTTAATTATACTAATTGTACAACTATGAATTCACAAACCTCTTTAGCCATCGTACAATAAGGACAGTAGGTTTTTGAAAATATTACTACTTTATTGCTTTTAATTGCATGCTGCACTAAATCCGCTTTTGGAGAAGTCATATCTACTACTGGATTTTTTAACAATGTACTTATATTTGAACCCATATACTTATTAAGCTTTAGTTTCTAAATTATAAAATAGCAAACTTGCCACATAAACTTAATATGTCGTATGGACTTATAAGCATTGCCAGCTGTACATTATGCCGCCTATACACAGAGAATTTGAATGAAGAAGTCATAATAAATTCAATATTGCACTCTCTCAAATTATACACCCCGCCAGGAAGACATGCTGGGCTTCATAATATACTTTTATAAAATTATTTAAATAACTTATTATCAAAATTAAGCGGGACTCTTATTACAATGAATCATCTAAGTGGTCACAGACACTATTAAGTAAAAATGCTTTAGACACTAATGCCTTAATTAATTCTGTATTAGAATTATTTGCGTACAAATTAGTACCATTTCTAGATTTTCTAAAAATAAACTTTTTGGAATATTTGCTAATTTTTTTTTCGTATGATTTGAAAACCACGCATCAGAGATCTAATGTTTATATACCAATCGACAGACTTTTCAAAATTCTATAAGTAATATGCATTTTTGTTCAATTTAATAAACTTTTTTTAATATTTTTTTATAAATAACAACGCAGGTTTACATGATCATGTTTCCAATTGATTGCTCATCAATATATTAAAGTTTCTAACAATTGTCGAAATGAAAACCTGAAACGATAATATAAACACTGAAACAACTTCAGCAAAGTTTGTTGACTAAAGTTAGTAATGTAAACCCCGCATAGCTTACGTTTGATAAATCAAAGAAGAATAATATATTATAATATACTTGATAACGCTAATAGTATATTCCCATTTAATTTAATTCGGAAAAAAAATTTGATATATGAGACATGAAACAAAATATAAGTAAACAAAAAATCAACAAGAGGTGAGAATTTCTTAAAATGTTTGTTTTTTATTAATTTTGATTTTAAGGTCAATATAACGGTAGTGACTATTTTTCTTAATAAAAACTATTGTATTTAATAGAGAGGTTTCGAAACGTAGTGAACTAAAACAACAAAAATTCTTTGTTCATATTATTTTAATTAATTGAATATTTGGCTAACCATACAGCCGTTTCCAGTATTGCCAAATCTCGTCATCAGTAGTCTTCTGAAATTATATCTGAGTTTATTATAATATACGAGTATTTCGGCTTAATACACTTCTCGTCATATAAGTTTACTACTCTTGTATGGTTCATGCTTGAGCTTAAGAAAATTATCAAAGTGTAGGCTTTTTCTTTAGTAAGCATATCTCAAAAGAACAAATGCTTATTTTAAAAATAAGATATGAAACAACAACACTGCTGGCTTATTTAGTCCAACCTTTTTGAATTCGCTTAACTAATAAGCAGCTCAAATCGTATGGTTGCCAAGATTAAAAATTAGTCTATTGTGAACGATTTTTGGAAGTACCTACGAAATTTCCAGGTATCTGTCAACGAATGATTTCGCTAATTATTCGTATTTCGTGTCGTCATTGTTCGTAACAAATACGTTACTTTTTCTTTTTATTATTTTAGTGTTAAAAGGCATGAAAATTCATATTTTATTCACAATTAAGTAAAAAATATATACTTGTGTTGTCATATTGTTTTCAGATTTCAATGACTCGTGATAAAGTATTTTTACCTTGAGGTTAATTTTATTTTGAGTATTTAAAAAGTTTTTTTTAAACTTTTTAAAAAAAAGTTTTAAAAAGTTTTTTTTAAACTTTTTAAGTAGTTTTTTTAAAGCATTTGTCCAATAAATTTTGTACGCTTTGGAGCACGAAATTTCTCTCACAAAATCTAAATATTTTGTTCAAAAAAATGAATTTTAATTCACAATGACGTTGCCATTCTTGAAAGGTATTCTTGCTCGAGGTACTTTTGAGCAAAATTCCTCAAAATTTGCAGGTATGTGTTGTAAGGATGGAAATTTTGTACAAATTTTAACCCTACACACAATCACTGAATTATCATTGGCGAATTACCTGAAAGAACAGCAGGCCGATTCCACTAATGGCTATCGCTAAAACAATCACTGAACAATTCCATGTCTTCGCTAAAATTCTTAAATAAGCGATTCGTTTAATTTAGGTGAATTAGCAATTGTGCGATTCTGCCAACAATCTCTTCGCGAAATTTATCCGGCGATGTGGATAATACTGAAATGCATTGAAATAAAAACAAAAATTGTAAACAAATATCAGCTGTTGGAATTATAATTTGAATTTCAAATGTAAAAGCAGATATAAATTAAAATTAAATTAATATAACATTGGCTTGTGGATTAATTAAATAATGGACTATTTAATAAGAATCAGATTTCTTTTTCTGGTGATATGAGAGATTCACGGAGTCATGTACGTTGCAAAAGAAAATGTTTACGAAATTCTACAGACCCCTCCACTATATCTGATGCGCGATTTATTCATCGATCAGATGGAATTTCGAGGGACATACGATCCGTGATGCTGTGCTTCATCCTCCTGCAGCTGGGAAGTACGCCAATTTGAAGGCCCGAGTTAGAGCGTTAAAGTGAGAGCGAGTAGCGGATAATTCAACGGTTGCTGTCAAAGGTTAAACTTGGTGATAGACAGCCAACATAGTTGTTGGCAGAGTTGACAGCGTTAGCAAAAGACAAGGTGAGCGATGAGTCCTCAAATCTCTTTGACTGCAGCGTGTTCCACCACAGATACGCGCTATTCTGCAGGCATCGGACGTGGCACTGGTGGAGCTGGTGAAGTTAACAAACCGTATCTGCGAGATGGGCCATTTTCTGCAGATTCTGAAGTGTCGGCCTCAGGGTGTGTTTGAATGTACGTAGAGATAAGTCGTTGCAAGATCGATCTTTCCGAGGAAGCGCAGGCGAACTCGTTTCCGACCAAAAAGTCATCCAGATTGGTGCTGGTATCACAAAAGATTTGATATTGGGGCTACAGCTTTGGCAGCAGCCGTGTAATTTCGCGGCAAGTAGCCAAAAAACTAGGTACTCCTTCTACGTCCTTCTATCCCACTCTCGGGATAGCGCCCATATGGTTTGACCTAGCGTTAAAGATCCTGCCACATCGGTGATCGGTGGTTTTTCTCATTGTTACTGGCGCTGGCATATCAGTTATACCGAGTCGTTCGGTCGTTCGAAACGAACAGCTAGCAGTGACTCAACGCTCACTCAGCTAGCAGTGACTCAACGCTCACTCAGCTAGCAGTGAGCGTGAACGTCCAAAAATGAACAATCTGATTATTTTGTTGTGTGCAAATGCCTTGGCAGCACTCGTATCAACAGCCAAAGGTAAACATATGTTTACAAGTAAATACTCAAATATTCTTTAATTTTAATATCATTTAAATTTATCATAAAATTTATCTTATCATATCATATAATTTATCATATAACTAAAATTTAAAAGGTGTCGTATATCAAGAAGTAGAATATTCAATTTTATACTTTTTAATTATATATCATTCCTTTAAAAATTATAGTTTTACTAAATTTTATTTATTGATTTATGTTATTATTTTTTAATTTTCACTTAGTACTGGCAGTACTAATAATCAAATTTTCGCTAATCTGAGAATCTCCAAAATAGTAGATTCTGTGCTCATTTTTTTTTGTTTGCAAATTTTTGTTGTAATAATCTGCTAAGCAGCTGATCTGCTGCCTGAATACCCCTACTGTTAATCTTTTTTAATACTAATTCAAAATCAACTATTTTATGTGCACCTCACAGGGCATTTGCACATATTAGGTCCAATTCTTTTCAAAAATTGCATATCAGATTTGTTTCTCACATTCGGAATGAGAGCATTGTGTAAATCTGGTTGAATTGATTCACGTAATACAAATACTATTAACACTGCTACCTTGGTTCTGTTTTAATACATTTTTTAATTTATTCAATTTAAACAACACCAGTAGTTTAGGAATCAAAGAAGCTTTATGTGGATCCAAACACAAATGAATTTTCTGCAAAAAGTCAATATTCTTTTCGGATCCATTATATTTGAAGAGAATGAAGGCAACAATATTATTAAGAACTGCTTTTCTATTAAAGAGTGACTTCTCAAATAAATACAACTTCTTTCTGTATTTTATTGGTTGTACTTTATTTATTTCCAATATTTAGTTATAAATCTAAATAATATTTTCTCTTGACAAGTAATTAAATAGGTTTTGTCTTAAATTAATTGAGTCATCCAACTCTAAAGTATCAACAAAATTCTGGTTGATCTGCCCTTTCTTCCACACTATTGTGTTCGTCATTGTCATGATTACTTACACAAATGTTGTTCAGAACACATACACTGGCAACGATATTCGTAATTGCAACCAAATTACTTTGTTCTGTAAACTTTGATAGTCTGCGAAAGCTACTTTTTAGCAGACCATTTTTAGAAGCATTTTCTACTACCATTCGTGTAGAGGAATGCTTTTCGTTAATTTTTTTTTTGGTTTTCATCTACGTTACCATAGTCTTTAAATGGGGGCAGAAGCAAGTTTAAACACGGATAAGCAGTATTTCCAATAAATAAATAGTTCACTTTGCTTTAATTGTGCACGTCCGTATACATCAGATCTTCTCAAAACTCTAAAGTCGTGCAAGGATGTAGGTTCACTGCAACTAATATTTAAAAATTTTTTGTCTGCATCTACAACAGCTAGCAAAACAATGGAATAGCATTGTTTGCGATTGAAAAAATCTTCACCATGACATGGTGGTCTTTTAATTGGAATATGTGTGCAATCTATTGCTCCTGTTATGCCTGGTATTCCATGTTTTTCTTCGAAGCCTATTATATACTGGTCTGTACTCCAAGCCACTGATATTGCAACACCAACCCAATTGTTTCTGCATTGCTCCACCGTTTTCGTGATGTGAAAATATGACTAGAAAAAAATATGTAATTAAAAAAATAGTTCCTTAATATTTTTACTTTTAAGTTCTACAATTACTTACGTTTCACTCATTTTTTAACAGCAATATAATAACTATATAAAATAACGTGCTTGTTACTAATAATACCAAAAATTAATGAAATTTTACAGTTGGCAGTTGTGAATTAAAAAGAATTGTTTATTATTATTTTTCAAGTACAGTTACAACTGAAAGTTAACTGGAAGATATGTACGTAATTCCATAAATCGTTCACAATAGACGAGTTTTTAGTCTTGGCAACCAAGTGATTTGAGCTGCTTACTAGTTAAGCGGTTTCAAAAAGGTTGGACTAAATCAGCCAGCATTGTTATTGTTTCATATATTATTTTTATAATAAGCAGTTGTTCTTTTGTGATATGCTTACAAATGAAAAGGTCTATTGTTGTTGTTTCATACAATATTTTTAAAAGAAGCAGTTGTTCTTTTGTGATATGCTTACAAAAGAAAACGCCTATTAATATTGATATGGATAAACATATCTTTCTTAGCAGTATGCATTTATTTTTTTATGTTTTTATGTACTTTAAAATTCATAAATTTCACAATCGCCAAACTGACCTACCTTTAACAAATGTTATTTCAAGTGAATACTTTTTTACTTTTGAAAAAGAGTGTGAAAAGTGAAATTTGGTGCAACCAAAAAATATAGATGGAGAATTTTGCAAACATATCCGTAGTAGTTACCAAAAAGTAAACATAACTCAGTTTCTATACCAAAAATTAAAAATATACGTCTAAATATTTGCTGTTAAAATTGCAAAATAGACAGTATTTTAAAAGTTTTTATAAGGGTACATATATATTTTCTGTTAAAATTTTTTAATAAGGGTCTGAATACACCTGACTACAGACAAAAGCTTATGCGTATAATGCATTTATAGGCTAACTTTACAGCCACCTCTATCAACAGGTTTTTCACTACCAATCATACAAAAATATATGCAAACTAAAAAATCGCATCATTCATAACATACATTGATACCGAATGCGCCTACCCCTACCCTACTCTATCAGTAGATTTTTAGTACTAAATTTCAAAAATGAGCCTGCGAAAATCAATATAATTTATCATTCACTTAAGTGCTGCTATATAAAAAAGTAAATTGGTAGCAGCTTCGGTCCTTGTTATTAATTTCGCATGAAAATAGTATTTAATGATATTATTTTAAAATTAATTTAGAAATAATATTTTACACGCTTAAAAAATTTTGAAGAAAATATAACTAATTAAAAAAAACATTCAAAACTGCTTTTTTTTTTCATTTCACAAAAAAAAAATAGCTTACCGAACATAATATATTAAATACTGTAAAATTCATATTAAAAAAGCAATAAAAATTAAGAATTTATTGATTTAAATATTTGTGTTTTAATTTATATATCATATTTTCTTTGCTGTGATATATATTATGTTTACGTGATGTCATATTATTAACCAAATAAGATACGCACAAGTATTTTATATATAGTAACAAATTATTATACTGCAACGCCAAAAGAGGGAGTATTTGTATGATGTTTTCGTGGTAAGATCACATATATTTAATTCGTGTGGCAGAATGTTATAAAAAATAAAGGAAAGTTTCCGTTCTTTGAAAGATATTCTTTGATATGCGTGTTCTTGGAGTTTCAGTTGCTATACACTATCCTACCAAGCATGCGTGCCGCATTTTATTTTAGGTCGTGTGCGAGTTAGGCTAAGTTGCGTTCTAAATAAGGGAAATTCTAAGTTGTGCCGATAATATAGTGATGTGTCGATACGTGTTGATAAATGGCTAAATGTGTGCAGTGCAAAAAATACCAAGAAAAGTCCCATTTGGTTTAGCATCCACTTAGCCTAACTCGCACACGTCCTTAGTTTTTATAGTACGCGTTTCAAAAAAAGTTGATAGTGCTCTTGTTTCCTTTCGTTTTTATATTTTTGTATATATACAATTAAGGTCGTGTGCGAGTTAGACTAAGTTGCGTTCTAAATGAGGGAAATTCTAAGTTGTGCCGATAATGTAGTGATGTGTCGATACGTGTTGATAAATGGCTAAATGTGTGCAGTGCAAAAAATCCCAAAAAATCTCCCATCTGGTTTAGCATCAACTTAGCCTAACTCGCACACGTCCTAAAATAATAATCATCATTGTTGTATTTTAAAATTTAAAAAAAATTTATATTTACAGCTTCCATTTATTAAAGGAATTAATGTTCGTAAATTCTTGTATAAATTCTTATTTATATAACACTTCTACATATATATAGGTCGTGTGCGAGTTAGGCTAAGTTGATGCTAAACCAAATGGGAGATTTTTTGGGATTTTTTGCATTTTGCCATTTATCAACACGTATCGACACATCAATACATTATCGACACAACTTAGAATTTCCCTCATTTAGAACGCAACTTAGCCTAACTCGCACACGACCATAGATATATTAAAATCACACATGACAAAAAAGATAAAAAAGATTTTTATAGTCAGTGATTTTTGGAAGTTTTTGTTGATTTTAACAATTTAAATTTAATAGGCGTATATAAATTTTAAATTAATTACAATAATTTCTTTTGATATGTGTATATATTATAAGTGTTCATACGTGAACATATAGATTAGTAACTATATTAAGCAGAGACATTGTTTTTATTTAGTTACAAAAAACATATTATTTAATATACTATATGTTATTTATATAGTAATATTTCAGTATTATATAAAACAAATTAAAATACTTATTAAAAGATATATTTGCGAATGCTATAATGACACATTCATAATGCAAAAATAATATATACATAATGACGTAAGCAAATATCGTTATATAGGCCGTGTGCGAGTTCGAGTAAAAGGATGGTAAATTAAGGGAAATAGTAAATTATGTCGGCATGGAAACGAATCTTAATATTTACCAGAATTTCGAGTAGGGTAAATTAAATAAAAATTGGGTAAATTAGGTGTTACCATTTTGAAAATTTTGTAAGATGTTTAATAAATAAATAAATAAATTTGAAAACTTTTAACCAAAAATAATATATAAGTGCAATATATAAATAAATAATTAAATATTTACATAAGTGCAGTGCAAAAAATCCTTAGGAAATTTCAATTTACTTGAACGCGCACACGACCATAGTGAACGATATAAATGTGCCCTCACTAATTAAAAAATTAAAATGATCCAATTTATACACATTCAACTTGAGCATTTAAATTAAATGCTTTTCGCGCAATTTTTACATGAATACCATGCATAACAGCCCCAATATTTTCTTGACATGTAACAATGGTTTTTTTACAAAAACAATATGCTTATCACAATGGAGTTGCCATTCTTATGATGTAATCTTTGCTTATCACATAAAAAATATTTTTTCCATTCTTGTCAAGTGTTCATTGATTTTCGTAAGCACTGCGAATGGTGTTGCTGTATTGTGAATGGAACATAAGACTAATAGTAGGTGGCTAGTTTCTTGTATTGGAGTTTTAAGTATTGTGTTGTTTGATTGTGCGATTATAGTTAATTTTGCAAATGGGCAGCTTGTATCAGTGCATCTGATACGTATATTTAAGATTGCTATCTTTACTGTGAAAGAGAAAATTAAGGTAAGATTGATACTGTACGGATTCAGCAGTGCATGTTTTTTGAACATGGCCGCCATCTTATTTTCTGAGTTTTTCCGTAATACAGAATGCTACATTGTACTTAACAATTGATTTATAAATGTAATTACTTAATATAACACGCCATCCAATTAAAAATAATGTATACGCGTTCGAGAGAATGATAATGGAATTTAGTGATAGAAAATCATCGCGAAACCAATATTTCACTTCTCATATCAAATATAAACTATATATTCTCAAAATGTATTCGGTTAATATATGTATTTTAATTTAATGCAGACCTCGCGAGTATCGAACGTGTTTTCTAAGACGGCTACACCGTGCAGACCGCGTTTTCACGATTCACCAACGTAGACGCTACATACATTCGTGTATTTAGTTAGCTAAAAATTATCGTTCCATAAAATTTCTTTCTTTAAAATGCCCGGGGCAGGCACATTTAAACTTTTCATTGGCAATCTTGATGAGAAAACTCAAGCTACTGAGTTACGTCCTTTATTTGAGAAGTACGGTACCGTTGTGGAATGCGATGTCGTTAAAAACTATGGTTTTGTACATATGGAAACAGAGCAGCAGGGCCGCGACGCCATCCAAAACCTGAACGGTTTCGTGTTAAATGATAATCCTATAAAAGTAGAAGCGGCTAAAAGTCGACGTGCACCAAACACTCCAACTACTAAAATCTTCGTTGGAAATTTAACCGATAAAACTCGAGCGCCTGAGGTACGTGAACTATTTCAGAAGTACGGGACTGTTGTCGAATGCGATATAGTACGTAACTATGGTTTTGTGCATTTGGATTGCGTCGGTGATGTACAAGAGGCCATAAAAGAATTGAACGGGCGAATGATTGATGGTCAACCGCTTAAAGTCCAGGTATCAACAAGTCGCGTTCGTCCTAAACCCGGGATGGGCGATCCAGAACAATGCTATCGTTGTGGCCGATCAGGACATTGGTCAAAAGAATGTCCGCGACTTTTTAGCGGTGGCGATCGTGGTTTATCGGTTGGTGGTGGTTATCGAGATCGTATGTACGGGCGTGATCCCTACCCACCGCCTCCACCACCCCCATTTTTGCGTGACAGAATTATGGATGGTTTTAGGGTAAATTAACTTGGATATTTAAAACATTTTAGATATATTGCATTTACCGGCTCAACTGAATTTTATGTATATTAAAAATCGGTTAGCTTTCGGATTTTAAATATACAGCTCTATAATATTTTAAGTAGCGATTTTATCAAAAATATTTTATGCAATTTGTAAAATGCTTTTTATTTAAATTTATGAAAAATCTATATTTTTTTACCGTTCAATTGTTATGCATAATTTCTAGTTCAATTCGTCTTAACGATTTAGTAGATGCAATATATTTTTATAAAAATGTTTTATGAAGATATATAAGTTTAGTATATTTCAGGAATATGACTACTATGATCGCAGATTTGATGATACCCGTGACTTATTTGAGAGACGGTATCAAAGCTCTCGAATGCGGGATTTCCCACCCCCACCATTATCGCGGCGAGAGCCAATGCCCCTTCCTCCACCGTTAAGTGGTAGTCTACGAGGTAGTAGCTTATCACGTGGTTATGATTCTATGTTTAGTCGCCGATCGCCACCTCCAAGAAGCAGTAATGGTCTTAGTCGTTATGGGTATAATAGAACAAGAAGCTTTAATAAGTAGTTATTTAATCAATTTATTTATAGATATGAAGATTTCAGTAGAGATTCATTTGATGAAAGATTAATTTCATCAAGGGGAATGCGTGGTCCTTCACCTCCTGGGCGCCGTTATGCACCGTACTGAGATGAACTGTATGATAGTACAGTGCGTTTATGGTTTAATTTGCAACCAATGGAAGAAGAATTTCGGTACGCACGCTTGCATAAAACAATCGTACCACAGTAATACTTGCATTAGGCTATGTTATATCCAATAATCTCAACTTAATGCATGACATCTTATCATAAAATATACGTTTCACTTATAACCAAGATAATATACATTTATTTTACACAAAATTTTGTCCCCAAACACATTAATTTATTAAAAAAAAGAGTACTTGTATGTTTAATTGTATCTTTTTTCGGTTATTTAGCTTTATTACATATTCATGAAAAATATGTTTCTGTCTTTTTTTTTTTCTTATTTACTATCTTTCTTTCATTTCGCTTAGTATTGAAATTATGTTCACAATATATAATAACAATAAAATAAAGCTACATCAAATAATTGAAGTTTGTTTTTATTAAAAATTAAATAGTCGCAAGTATTCTTAATCAATGCCTAAACAGCACCGTTTTCTACAAATATAGATTGTACTGTCTTAATATTATGATTAAAAAAAATACGACTTATTAAAAATATATTCTTTATAATACATATATTAATAAAAATTTTAGTAAACAGTAAATGATTTAAAGTTTCTACATGTGATTTGCTACTAAGTAGTAAAAATGTAAAAATTCAACAAAGAAATAGCTTTAGTTATTGATATACAAGAAAATGTTCAGTTTTTGTAATTTTTTGAGCAAACATTTTTCCAGCCTCAGTTGGCGCACTAAATGCGATTTTGTCAATAGGAATTTGTTCACTAGGTAAAGTATTCAGTTGAACAGCTTGAATTAGCTTAGAAGCGATGCGCATTCGTCTATGTAATGGTGAGATCCATAGGCGAGAAATTCCACACCTAAATTGTTTAATATAATATTTAGGATATAAGCAGGAATAAAGAAATGTGACTTACTTTGATTCATATTTTTCTTCAGTACAACAATCTATGCCTTTAACGGACATGTATTTGTTGGCGAAAGAAAGCGGCTCAACCAAACATAACCCAACTATTTGGCTTTTACGCACAGCACAGTAGCACTAAAAGTTCCGTAGGTCACAATTTTTATATTAATTACTTAGTCTTAAAAAATACTTACAACAAATATTCCTGGAAATATATACGATGAAAACCCAAGTTCCTTATCCACTATCTTTAATATTTCTGTCAAACGTTCTTTTCGCTTAGTATGCGAGTTATTAGTTAAACGAATTATGCGACCATCGTTTCCCCACTCTGGATAGATTGCAACAATATCTTCATCAATCCATCCCTTATAACGTAGAATATTCAACGAAGAGTGGAATTCGCGATGGAGTTTTTCTTCTTCAGGTTCGTGTACATTATATAAAAGTCCACATTGCTTGCACTGCTGTGGACCAAATTGTTTTTGACCTGCGTCAATTTGATACTGGTCTCTACCTTGACCCATCCAATTACGATAAATTGCACGTGAAGATGTTTGCTTAAGAGGTTGATAACAGCCCGATAAAAACATTGGATAAGATTGTTTTTGCGTTTCCTCCTGAAGTTCTAAAGAGTCAGATTGTAATGCAGGCGGCGATGCCTCTGAATAAACATGGAGGATTCTATTTTCAGTACTGCATATGTTGTTTTCAATTGTAGGTGGCAGATTCGAACCAGCACTACTTTTAGGCATATTTAATTTACTGGTTTCGGTGTGAAATAAAATCTCTGCAGCTTCTGTTTTACGTTTTTCATAATTAGCAATAAAAATATCAAAATTTTCTTCTGTGCATATCTCATGTTCAATTAGATATTCTAAAAATCTATTTTGTTGCGCTATCACCATTGGATCAGAAGTATTATAAGGAATACGTTCTCGAAATTCTTTATGACCTTTGACGATAAATTGATCTAATATATGTGAAGCTTCCTCTTTATGATTTTCTGGATCAGCAATGAATATTCTAAAATTTTCTTCGGTGCATATGTTAAAGCTGATTAAAAAGTTTAATAATAATCGTTGCTGTTCTTCTACAGCTGGATCTGTTGTCTTATATGGTATACGACTATGAAAGCTTTCGCAAAATTCGCTTTTGTCAACTATAGCTAGATCAATCAGATCGTTGTGCGTAGATTTTTTAGTAGCAATTTTATTTATTTTTAATGAATCAGCTTCATATATTGATTGTTCTGTTTCTTCAAGAACTGTGTCATCCAAAGCTTTAAGGATTTTATCTACAGTTGCCTGTTCGTCTGAAAATTTATTAGCTAAAAAATATAAATAAAAAACAGCTATAATTTTCGTCTTAAATAAATGTTATTCAATTATCATAAAATAAACTAAGTATTTACTTATAATTTTGGGTTTTCTTTTTATTTTCATATTTTCCTCAAGTATGCGTAGTTTCCCATTGCAAACTGTAGCCTTTATGTGGTCAGTTATTTGAACTTCCTTTTTAGTATTTGTCGTACGTCCTGTTTTGAAAAACTTCCGCTTTGTCAACTGCGCTGGGGTTTCTATGCAGTCATATTCACTTTCAGATGGTTCGTATTTAGGAAATGTTATTATAGGTATAATTTCTTCATTTACATCCTGGACAATATTTTCAGTATCTAATTCAGATTCATTCACGTCGATCTCTGTATCAGAAAAACCAGTTTCAGTTAAATCAAAGGAATCATTTTTTTGTTTTGATACTATTATATCAAGTGTATTATTATTGGAATCGTCTGCAGAGCTCAGAACACTTAGTGGACGTGCCATTTCGATAGGATTCGCGCTATTTCGAAATATGCTATGCACTTTTTCAATTTGATCTCTTATGATACGTTTGGATGTGATAAGATTTCGTAATTTTTCATTTCGCATATTACTTAAAAGAAGATCAACATTAACATTTGATTTCGTATGAGAATTTAAACTTAGCGATCTGGATGGGCGACGAATCTTATGGTGAACTCCTTTATTAATAGAATGAAATGATCTTCTTTCATTGCGTGCGCGTGCTGTTGTATTACCATGTAATGAATTTTCAACATGTAATATTTTTGAGCTTATCGATTTCGGGTGTAATTTAGAAGAATAAAAAGATTTCGTTGAAATTGAAATTTTCTTACCAACGGAGTCTAATTTAGGTGTCATACTTTTCTGACCAGACACATTAGCTGTAATGTCATCGCTGTATTTTCCATTTTTTGTCGTATCAATGGATTCAGTTTTATTACTTGAGGATGTATTGTCGTAATTGAACACAGTTGAAGATAATGATGCCTCCAGCTCATTATCTTTCACTTGATATAAAATATTTTCCTTTCCACCATGGTCATTGTTAGACAGTTGAACGGGTGTAATTGGGCTAACTGGACTGGTATTGTGATTTAGTCGACTACTGCGCCTTGGCAATGGAATCTTCATATCGTTTTTGTCATTTTCGTTTGTATTGGCAATATCCTCAAAATAACTGGTTGAATTAAAATTGTTTGTAGGTAATATAGTGTAAATTTTATTTTTGATTATTGACATGTTATTCCAGACAGTGCTTTTTGCCTCACTTGGTAATGGCTTTATCTCCGATAAAGAATTATATCCTTCGTCGCCTAAATTTGAAGCACATATGGGAAATATATCTTTCTTGACATTAGAAGAACAAGGTATCGCGTTCCTATTATTATGAATATTCTTTGCAGTTTTTAGTGTTTTCATATCCATTAAAATTTCTTTTTTAACCAGGTGTATTCATAATAACCCACTAAACTTCAACGCGCCAAAATGTAAACACGCAATGACTTTATTTGACATGTCAAAACAGCACGTAAAAAATACGTGCTTAGATTAAATAGAAATAAATTAAAGCTGCCATATTTCTCACAACTTTACGATATCTATCAAAGAAGATAAAGAAAAGAAACTGAGAGTTACTCAAAAAATTGTGTAATAAATTATCTCGATTATTCAAAAACTATTCTTTGTTCGAAGTCAAAAAGCCTAATAGGGCTTAATAATATTCCCCACCTAGTCTTCGTATATTGCTTTAAATATAAAAATCATAACACATTCTGAGTAAATTCGTTGTTTGTTTTTTTTGACAAAGTTTTTGACAATAAAATCTGTTATGAGAAAACGATAAAACGAGAAAACACCCCAAAGTTGTTATAAGGATCAATTTAATAACACAAACAATAGTATATAATTTTTTATATATAAAACAAGGAAATAACGAATATTTAAATAAAATATTAAGTTACCTGAATCAGAAGTATTTTATATATAACACAAGGAAAACACGAAGGATTGTTTTGTAGAGAAATATTAAAAAAACAATATATATCCTTAAACATCCTTAAAAATCTAGACTCAATTCCATATTAATGACTCCAAGGATAACTATTACTTTCCTCCCAACAGATATCATTTGATTGAATAACATAAAATATGGCTTTTTTAAATTCTTTTATATAATTTTAACCCCTTATGAATTTATTATATCTAAATTTTATCATTACTATTTTTTTATTATATTATATTGAAGGTGTTTTGAGCCAGTGCAGTTCAGCACTTTTACTCTTTTATAACTCGAGGTATTTTCAAAACTCCTCTTTACACCTTGACTAGATTATGTTTATCACTTAATCAGACCAAGCAAAAATTGATCTCAGATCTGCATACCTTCCCGTGGAGCCTGTCACCATTTTGAGATTTGATAGCGCTGTATTGGTAAGTCAGTCAGTTTTCGCAAATAGTTTCAGGGCTCTATCCTTTATGTATTTTTTGATGGAATCAATCTTGAGGTCCCTGAGGATCTCATTCGTCCTACTGTACAATAGAACTTTGAAAAATCTTCTTAGAGCCTGGCTTTATGCAATTTCTAGCTGGTGAATAGTAGTGTTTGAAGCTTTGCTTAACGCTACACAACCATATAGGAGTGACGGACGAATTATTTGGTTATATATCAGTTTCCTGTTCTTAGCATTGAGATTTTCATTACTGAATAGCGGTTGGAGGTAATGAACAATTTAACATGTTTAAGCCATGTGAATCGTTTGTCCAACGTGATACCGAGATATTTAACGCTATCCTCCCAGTTTATCACCATATCACCCACTCTCACTCACGACGGATACTGTCTCCACTTACGCGTTATAAACAGAGTCTTAGTTTTTTCATTATTGATTTTTATTTTCCATATATGGAAATACTAAAGAAAGAATATGCTCTTGAAGTGTGATGGTTATGTTGAGAGCACATTTATCTGAGTATAGCATACACGCGTCGTCAGCATATAACGCCAGAGTCAAGGGACCTAACATTGGAATATCAAATGTATAAATGTTGTAGAGAGTGGAGGAAAGTGGCGATCCGTGAGGAACCCCTGCTTTTATAGATCGGACTGACGAGAGAGCTCAGTTGATTTTAGTGCGAAAGGACCTTCCACGTAGGAAACTGCCGATGATGTTAGTTAGTCTGCCTGGAACACCTAGATAAGACATTTTTACTATCAGACCATCATTCCAGACATTGTCAAAAGCTTTAGAAATATCAAAAATGATCATTCCAGTCGACTTTCTTCTATTAAGGGCTGTTTGGATCATTTGGGTCGTTCTAGCCAGTTAAAGCTCCGTGGACAGGTCATTCCTAAAGCCAAATTGTTAGCAGGCTTATGGGGCGCCAGTTCTGCGGGAATTGTGGATTCTTATTCGGTTTGGGGAAGATAATGACTGGCCAGCTTCCAGAACTCAGGAAATTTGCCTAGCTTGAGCATGCAATTAATTATGTTAGTGATAAGCTGGATTGCATTCTCCAGCAGGTTACGTAGGCATCTGTTGTTAATTATATCATGACCAGCTGCCGATCTTATCTTTAATCTTGCTATAATTTGGGTGATTTCTTCGACAGTGTATGGTGCTATCATTTGGCTCCTGATCCAGAATATTATTTGCCTCCTCGAAGATGCGTTGTTCTTTCTCTGAGTCATATTCTAAGTCTTCATTGGGCTGGAATTGAAGTTCAAGGGTGTCCGCGAAGGCCTCGGCTTTTTCTAGATCTGTGTATTATATTTACATCTATTTCCTTTAGTTATACAATTCGTTGAATATTTTTGTCTTAATTAATAAATTTATTGTGACGACTCAGGAATAGGCTGATGTTAGTCCAAGGAAACCACAACGACAATGAACCCGTTTCGTAATTAATGTAATCAATTACAAATGTCGTAATATATTTTTTACGATTTTAGAACAATTGGAAAAGAAATGACAAAATCTATTCAAATAAACATTGAAATTTTGAAAATGCCGAAATGTGTGAAATTCTTATTAAATTTGTTTAAAAATTTTGTACATAATTATAACTAACATTTTTTAAATTTTTGTTATAAAACTATTTATTAAATTTATATTATAGTTTTTTTCTACAAAGTTGTTATTAAATGCTTTATTTACAGAAAGTTATCAAATACATAAAATAAAATTTTAGAATGAGAAGCGTACATCGAGACAATCCAGAGAGCTTTAGCGTCGTACTCGATGACCATAACTACATTGTAGTTGTCACTAAATCTAGAAAGTAAACAAGCATTAATGTTGTTTCTTATTAGAATACAGAATCTGGAATTACCATGCGATACCTCTTTAATTTCGGTCTATAAACCCTGTTATTAATAACTAAAGGCTCTAGGGACAGACGTATCTGTATTATTAACGTGACTTCCTGCCATGTAGGCTTAACATCATGGTGTTCTTTACACATGCATTGCGCCGATGAACGCCCCATTGAAATTACCGTTTAATTCCGCCGGTTACCTATGAAGAAATTTGTGTTAGTCATATCTTCTGTCTTGGTTTGATGCGAAGCCTATCAAAAACCTCTGCTACAATTTGGACTGTAGCACCCGGTGGTGAATACGCAACTCCACGCCGAATGTAAACCAAAACTGAACATTCTTCCCGCGTAAGTTTGGGTATTAGCCATCAGCCACTACGAATACAATCTCAACTGGTCAGTCTAGCTGAAGCTGTGGCCAACTCTTACGCCTCTTACGACATTCATACTTTACCGCAGGAAAATTCTAACCCCTTCACCGCAGGAGGGAGGTTCTTGGGGCATGAAAGTTCAAAATTTACGTTTTCCCCTGCCGTCTAAGCTTAACATCACCTTTGGAAATCCGAGGAATTCCACCGGTACCAGTTGAAGTTATGTGTTTGGGCTTATTTATAAAACCATTAGTCAGATTTAAATAATGTGAAATAACCAATCCAAACTTATTTCTTGCAGACGCTATTCAAATCATAAAATTCATTATATCTCTAAAATGTATCATACCATCCACACTGTGCTTGTACGTTTTTATAGATAATAAAACTTGCACTAAAGATATATATGAGTGTGGAAGGAACCGTGATTTTGAATCCTTAAGTATGGTATAACAACGAAGTCATACCTACCTGTAGCCATGATAATTACCTAACATAAAGATTTTTTTACTTATATGTGGAAGGATATCAACAGTAATGAGATGACAAATGGTAAACTGTTGAATGGTATATATTATCGATTTCCGTCTAGCTGCAGAAAGGACTGCAATGTAAACAAATTGATGTCAGAAGTACGACTGGGTCAACTTATGGAAGGGCGGATATTAACAACCTAAATTTAGTTGAACTGCTGGGAATGATCTTTGATGTTAAAATAACGACCGAAAAAGTCTTCCACTGTTCAATTATTTAATAGATAGTTGTATTTAAACAGTTTAACAGTTTTTTTTATTTATTTCTAACTAATTTTTTTTGTAAATAATACATAATTTACTTATTAAGTAGTTCAACTGTATAGTTATAAATATTTATAATCTCGCCTTCCTGTTTAAATGAATTTAAGACCAATTTTTTAACACGTATATATATTATATATACATATATGTGTGTGTAATTAAAGAAATTGAAAAATATAGATTTTTTAAAATTCCAGTTTTGTCGTGTATATATATCAGTGACGACGCGTGCCCTATCTGGAAGGGTGTGCGGCAGTTCTAAAACTTTTATGAGATGTTTTATTAATAATAACTATATTACATTAGGCAACAATATATTCACAATATAACATTTAATAATTCATTAACAAAAAACATATTAAACAAATGAAATTAATAATTAATGTACAAGTTTAATATTATATCAATATGTGGAATAAATACAACTTTTAACATATATCTTGTAACATCAAGCCAACTTTTTTCAAACAAAAGAGTTTCTATTTAGAACTATACATGTTTATGCAGTGATCAAACACAATCGAACATGGTACTTGCAACGTATAAATGTGCGGCCAGCTACTCCGCACACCAAGCGTTTATTATTCGCTGGAGTAACGGCTAAAAGGGAAGAGACGAAATTTGAAAGAAATGTATGGTGATGTGAGCTGCAAACTGTAGCCGCACATCTAATGTCGGCAAGTCAACATGTTGAATTGTTATTGCACACGCACATTATTTTGTTCATTCTACTTTTGTGCACACTTATGACAGAAATTAATGAATGCAATTGCGTAAAGGGGAAAGACGAAATATAATAGAAATATTTTGCGATGTGAGCTGCAAACTTATGAGCACAACTAACGACTTTAGTAGCTAAGAGAAGCAAATTAAATGAGCTTCGTAAATAATTAGATTTAATTGTTTTTGCTAAAACTTTAATTTTTAAAAATATATATATGAAAATGTAATAAACAATATTAATTCTTGATGTAAAGATATTTAATAAATTTATATATATCATATTTGACAGTTTGCAAATTATGTTAGAGTGTGCGCTGTACACCTTCGCACCTTAGA